AGAGAGGCGAAGAGAGAGGAGAAGAGAGAGGCGAAGAGAGAGGAGAAGAGAGAGGCGAAGAGAGAGAAGAGAGTGGCGAAGAGAGAGGAGAAGAGAGTGGCGAAGAGAGAAGAAGAGAGAGGCGAAGAGAGAGAAGAGAGGCGAAGAGAGAGGCGAAGAGGGAGAGGAAGAGGCGAAGGGGGAGAGGAAGAGGCGAAGAGGGAGAGGGAGAGGGAGAGGAAGAGGAGAAGAGAGAGAAGAGGCGAAGAGAGGGAGAAAGAGGAAAATGAAGGACAGAACAACGTCTGTCAGATTCCGGGTAATAAATAATTAAATGGTATTTATAAGCCAGAAAAAATGTGGGGAAGCTTCTTGAACATATAACATTGTGCATAAAACATTGAAGAAGAAAAACTAGCCACGCGGCAGGAAAAGAAAACACGTGGAATGTGAGCACTTTTTAAATGTGTAAGGTTTTACACATTCGAACTTCGGAAAGTAATAAGAGGCAAATTGCAAACTGATAGGGGTGATGCTCAACATGGAAATTACTTTACAAGCACGTCATTGGGAGAGACGCACGTCATTGGGATTATTACGCCTACCAGGAATGACGAGAACTTGTTAAGACAAATAGCTTCCGGAGACCCTGACGCGAGTATTCTTTAGATAATTAGCGACCGAAACACTGTGTTTACATGCATTGACGCATATCTATTAGGGTAGCAAGAAGTTAAATGAATTGTCCAGCTCTCTCACGTACTTACGATTACAGTTAACAATATTCGTGTTGCTTCATATGTACATGCATGAAGCAAGAATCATCAGTATTTCCTCCCATCAGTACAAAAACTGGTTTGTATAAAATACAATACCCTTGGATTAGGTCAATGATGAGCTTTCCAAATGGATTTCGGTGGATGTAGGAAATTATAATAATTTATATTTCCTAGAGAGAGTATTTTTTGTTGATGGAATTTATCAAGTTGTGTCAAAGGAAAGAAACTAACTTCAATAACTCGACATGTGCTAATATATGATTAAATAAATCTACAATTAGCAAAACAAAAATTCAGTATATACAATTACAAAATACTTCATCGAGTGGACGTACCTATTCCTATTCGACATAAGGGTGTATTATCTGCTATCCGAGCTTATGGTACGAATAGAAACTCTAAAATCAATATTTTTCCTCTCTGAGTCTGAATACATGGCAAATAAGAATACAAATTCTATTTAAGGGTTTCCGGTTTCATGGTATGTGATAGTTCATTACATCACTGGTCTGTAAATAGATTTGCAGAAGATGCACATCATGGATCACCAGATAACTATCAGATTATTCGAAGTATTATTTTTGCGGTTATTTTAATGTCTGTGAAGATAGGCAAGAATACCAAATAGACTAGTATTCGTGCATTTTACAATTTTATTTAGCAATATTTTGTAATCACTCAACGGGTTCCTCAGAAGTCCGAAGAAGATACCACATTGTAAAGAGTGTCTCTGGGAGTTTTGTTTGAAAAAATGAAATTTACATATCATTAAAAGCATACGGTTGCCAGTATGAACGGTTCTTTATAAGAATTTTCTAGGCTTCAATGAACTTTTTCCTCAAAAGTAACAGGTAGAAAAAAATTACCAGTTGCCAGTACTTTTTAGTTAGAAGGAATTATTTTATAATTCAATAGAATAAGTGCTTGCAAATCATTGGAAACTGTACCTATGTTGTTTGATGCATGTTCCTGTTGTGCAAACTGTTGTGTTGCACAGCACCAATTACGATTCGTAATTAAAAAATATCAAAAATAACTCTAAACAAAAACGAATACACACAAGATAAATATAAGAAATTCAGTACGACAATCTCAAACGTCATACTAAATCGCTTTTTCCTCCGGTCTGATTCTAGTTTCTCAAAAAGCAGCGACCGAAAGGCGCAGCTAAAGGAGAGAAGAAGAGATCCAACAACTGATGTTTGATGAGGCGGCATCGCATTATATCAATAACATACGGACGCCGTCTCTCACAAAGTGTGCATTAATTCCGCTTTGACGCGCCAGGGCGGCGTACTTACGTCGGCGGCGTCGGTGGCACGAAAGAGGTGGCAGGTGAGCAGCGGCTGCGCCGGCTCGCGCACCACGTAGAGGAAGGCGCGCGCGTCGTGGGGCGCGTGCATGATGCGCCACACGTGCGCCAGCGGGTGGCGCAGCAGCGGCGTCGGCGGCGCGCCGGGGTCGGTGGGCTCCGCCGCAGTGTCCAGCGCCACCACGCACCCGTCGTGCACGCCCACGCACACCTGCGCACCACACCACCAGTGCCATTAGCACTCACATGGACACACACAACAAACGGCATCAAAAGAACGTCTGGAGGGTCTACAACAGCACATACTTTCTCGCATTATTGGAAAGAGTTGCGTAATAATGAACTATTGTAATTAATTCAGTACTAAAAAATCAACTTAAAGTCCAATTCAAACGACGAAGCGCATAAGCCAGGATCATGAATTCATGTGTAACTTTTACAAAGGAAACAAACATGAATACATACAACTACTACAGTATTAGCAGCACATACAGAAAAGGAAGAATATTTCACACAAGTTTGCCATGATTACATCTAAGCGATCTAACAATTTCTGAATACCACAATCAGCGATCAAAACTTCGTAAAGAAAAATAAATGTATTTGTTATTTCTACATCGTACGATTAAGACGACCGGCAACTGCCACAAAAATTCTAAGACTTTCCAGCCGACATGTTGCCATTTAGCGAACGACATTCTGACAACACGTGAGCGAAGCGGAAGAAATTGGTGAATACCATACTGAAATTTTTGTTGTTGCAATTTTCGAAAACACACAATGCGCTGAAATTGGGAATCGCACCACTTCCTTTATGGTTCTTTGACACATACGTGAAATTTTCAGAAAAAAATTGGCGCTGTTCTGAGAAAATAATTGTTGAAAATTTACATTTGCAATTTCATTAAAATTGCCTATTTGTGTCGCAAAAATACTCATATTTTCGAAAACGTGAACGTAACCTTATTTCAAGATCTGTTTCTGGGGAACGCATTTCCTTAATAAGAAAATACTTCATAAGTGTATTAGCAGGAAGACCCCCAAAAACGTGTCCTTTTACAATTCCGGAAAAATCACTTCAACGAAAATGAGATCTACACTATTCTCATGAGTCTCCTTTACGCTATCTGAGACAAATTTTTAAAAAATATTTGGAGAAGTGTCCCAGGGGTTTTATGTAAAGCACTTCCCAAAATTGAAGTATCTGTTTAAAATGCAAGGAACCACGACATCAGCCACATCTATGGGGGAACATCAATTTGCTGAATCACGCACCCCTCGTGCACGCCCACGCACACCTGCGCGCCACACGTCTTTAGCACTCACACTGTACCGTTGCAATCCTGCATACGGTTTAGCCGCAGAAGTTGTGCACAGACAGACGAACAGACATTTTGCCGTGAATCGATTTCTAGGTGTCAAGTAACCAAAAAACGTGGATGGAATTGACAAACAAGAATGGCAGCCGTATGTCTCCCCGTTTCATATATATTCACTGTCCAAAAGTGTTGACGTTTTGTTGGACACCTCGATGTGACTTAAATAACGCTCAACATTACATCAATAAAACACGTACATTTTTGTTAGTATACAATACAATATACTCAGTAACATACACCTCGGGAATCTCGTGTCAAAGAAAAAAAAAACAGAAAACAAAATTTAAAATGTTGTTTGGGCAGAAGATAATTTACTTTAAGAACCGGCGAAAAAAGACCACGACACAAGACGTCTCAAATGGGCAGACGAAAACTTTATATTTCATTCAGAAGTAAGAGTTCATTTTAATACACATTCTCTATTTCTTTTGCAAGAGCAAAGGGAGATAAGAATCCTCAGCAATTTCCCACTTGAAGAAAGTGCTCGACCGGGGAGCAATTGCTTACTTTTCTTTTGAATAAAATTGAGAATTCGATTCTAGTGCAAAGCACTTACTTCGCATTTTCGGTTCAGTCTCAGTAGAAGATTCAGTCGTATTGAAGGGGTAGAATAAAGGTTTTAAACGATTATTGTGCGCTTGTTGTGCGTTATAGGTGAGTGAAGGAATGATCGAAGGCTTTTCACAATTTCGTCAACAAATCGTTTACAAGACAGGAAGAGTTACTGAAGAGAGTATTGATGAAAATTCATTTTCCCGGTTCAGTGGATGCCTAATTATGTTCTTGTCGAGTGTAATGAAGTAAGAGGTGGTGGCGATAAATAATGAAAAGAAAATGAGAATATTTTTGTGTTAATATAAAAACAAAAAGCCGAAAGCATGACACCTGTACCACTTAACCTAACACTGTCGCAGCATCAAGAACAAGCATGCATGGGGCGGAAACTTAACAAAATACACAAAACTTGACCAACCGCAACGGACCAGATAGTGAGCAACTACACTGAGAGAATAGTAAATGCTTTTATTCATATGAAAAGGAGGAGTTGGTACCGCCAGAGACCAGGGAAGTAACTAGTGCCATAGAGCACCATAAGTTGTGTTGTGTTTTGCACGTCCGAAACATTTTCATGCAAAGTTAGAGGATGGGTGAGTCAGTCACCTGTAGTGTATTTAAAACGCATTTTTATTATGAACTTGTATTACTCAAATACTTTTTTACATGGTGAAATTGAAGTGCTTCAGGCCACACCAAGTATCAACGTATTCAATAAAATACTGAATATTGAATATAAATTCAAATCTGATTCTCGTCCATTTCAACATACACATTAATACTAATAGTAGGGCAACACATGTCCATTTTTAAAGAGAAACGCGTGCCAATGAAAATAAAATGCAGGCCAGTAGGGGCGGCCTAGACAGATTGTTACACGGGTTGGTTGTCACAAGTTGTCGTTCTCAGACGTTATTTCTCCCTGCCGAACTAAACTCAAACCACAGTACAATCACCTTCCAAGGTGGTATACGTGGTTTCGAGTTTCTGAAGATTGTTTTCTACAAGCTTTTTTTTTCTATTTTTACAGACGTACGTATTCATTTGTTACAATTATCACTGATTATTCACTCTCTATTCAATCATATCTGGATTTCAATTTTTTTGCTATTATTTGACAACAATTGGACACTGATATTATGCAGTACGAATGACATTATGTGCACTGTTTGTCTTTTCAGCTCATCTCTTGTTCGAAAGGACTGTGTGGGATTAGTTGTCCCAAATATGTGGGGATGGTTGTCACATGTGACATCCACCACGGCAGGGGTATTTTCAGAAGTTCTTATCGCCTGATTCATGTAAAGAAGGGATTATAAAAAAGTACCAAAACAGAAATTCCAGTTATAATACTTTTAGCAGTGGAGAAAATAGAAATAAAAATAATTCTAGTATCTAGTATATCTTATATCTAGTGTAACGAATGGCACAGAATTTCCCGTGATATTTGTTTTCTATTTCCTTTCGTCGCGGCTAGCTACTCGGACTTGCCACATACTCTTGCCAGCTGCCATCTAACACCGCCCAAAGTACTTTTTTTTTCATTTTCTTAATTTTTTGTTTGCTAAATGTATGGCTAAAATATTATTTTAAGTTTATTGAAGCACAGTAGAACCTCGTCCTGAATGGCAATTTTCGTTGAAAATTTTGAAACCGTTTTTTAAAAACTGGCGTTTAAGCTTTGCTGTAACTTTGAATTCGAAGTCATTTTAAGTACTTCAACTCACAAATACAATAGTGTTTACAAATTGCTGGAATTGTGCATATCAACAGCGTGAGGGATCTTTCATCAAATTTAAATTTGTGTATTTTTTGAAAAAAAAATATCCGAAATTAACTTTACTCATAATAAAGAGTGGAAGTAATACTATCCATTCGAAATGTTTCAAGAAAAAATTGGAGTTGTTTTTGAGAAAATGGCGTTTGAGCGTTTTTGGAAAATGCGGAATTTTGTGCTAGTTTTCACAAAAAACATAGTTTTCAAGAAACTATATAACATTATTTAAAGCACATGTACTAATAATGTAATAATATGAACAAATTGACGCTAGTATAAATATTAGCGACTTGAGCGTCAAAAAAAGAAATTCTTATAAATTTTGAAAAAAGAAAAAAATAGCGCAATATGGCTTTAATGTTTTCTAATAGAGTATATTTAGCATTATTCGTACCAAACGTTTAATGAAAATTTTAGAGCAGTTTTTTCTGGAAAATTGTTTTTCCATTTTTTTTAAATTGCAGATATTGCACGCAATATTGCCCGAAGACTACTAAATTTTTTGAAAAGAATTTACATGACCTTAATGAATGAACTTACATGACACAGTAAAAAAAGTAAATTTTGTACATGTTGGATCTACGTGTCACCAACATTCCCCCCAAATTTGGGTCTAATCAGTAATGTAGTTTTTGAGAAAAAGTTGTTTTCCAAAAACTTCTATATTATAAAATTTGGTTATCAACTCGGCCGACATTTAAATGTCCTATCGTTTTAACACATTTTTTCATAAATTTGGGTCACTCAAATTCCAAAACATAAGCGACCAATTTATTTACAATCGGTTATCTCCTTAAAATAAATCAATTTAAATTAAATCAGATGTTAAGTGATAATTTTGAAATAATGCTACATGTATTTTTTCTGTCTTTATTAATTAATGAAAATATTTAATATGATGATTTTCTATCTTCATTATGTTTTAGAAAACTAAAAAAAAATACAGCTAATTTGAAAAACCTCGCATTATGATGGGTTGATTAGAATGACCGAATAATATAATAATAATAATAATAATAATAATAATAACAACAACATATCCCCTGTATATTCAAGGCTAACAATCTTGTCTTAATCAAGGGATGCAGCCGAAAGGCTGATCCCTATAATTCCACACATTGATTTCTCCAGGATTGAATATAACTGGGTCTTAGATACGTGTGATTAGATAGGAGTGATATACGCGTTGCTTGGTCAGTAGTTGATAATATATATGATAATAATAAGTTTAGTAATAAAACGTAGTGTATCAAACATAAAGCACCAAATGGCGCTTCAAAAGTGTCTCCAAGAACATTTCTGCTCGCATTTCCATACACACATGCAGTTTGGAAGTTTAAAAAACAGAATTAATAGGCTTCTATATGCGATAAATATATTATTCCTTTGTAATGAATGGATAGTTTATCATTTAAAAGTTATTTGGGCCATAATATTAAAGTTAAACCGTTCTAGTAGCTAATAGTGAATATTGATAATATGATAGTGATTCATCATCTA